ATTGGTGCAAAAGGGATTAGCTATTGGTGCAAAAGGGATTAGCTATTGGTGCAATTTAATTGATATGGTATGCAGACTAAGATTCGTGGGGTGCAGTGGAGGCAACCTAAAAGTAATCAATGGTGCTAGTGAAGATTATATGTGTATTGCTTGGGGCAAAATAGCTTAGCTAAAGGTGCAATTGACTTGTGTTTGAGGAAGTTGTGTATGCAGGTTAAAATGCATATAAAAAAATGGTTGGATGTGGATGAAAAAACTTAGAAATTACTTAGATTCAATTTTTATGGTGCAAAAGACATTACGTAAAGCTGCAATTGAACTGTGAAATAAATGCAGACTGGGTTTGTTTTCAAATGCTTATTCATTTTTTGGGTCATGGAATTAATATGCAGATGAAGATTGGTTGTTATGCAAAGAGAGACGTTAGGTGCATTTGGAATTGTTTTTAGGTGCATATTTTGTTGATAAACATTCATGAGATTTCTGATATCTTAGTGAAGTACTTAAGATTCATGAGATTTTGAATATGTTCACGATTGCATTATGTGTGGCATATCATTAATGGTATTGTTTTTTTTTTCAACAAGGAGTTAACATGCACATGAATGTATTTTGGTGTGCATATGAATGACAGTGTACTAACTAATCTAACTAACTAAGTAGGAACTGGACAAAACCACCAAACAGTTCTACAAAAGAGAAAGAAAGCAGCACCATGTGGGAGTAGTATTGCAAAGAAAAAGAGGGTGATTAATAAGGGGATTCAAGTGCAAGTGCAGCCTGATGGTTAGTAAATTTATACTTTCATTGTTGATCGCAAATATGGAAACAGAGTATTAAGGAAAGAGAGTTGGGACGTGATTGTATTTCCATGTTTAGACCGATATGCGATGCCCCAAAACACCCTCACGTACGCGGCTGAAATTAAAACCTGCGCACAAAAAAAAGGCTTAGATAGACGGTTATGATCACTTTGTATTTTGTAAATTAAGTTGACTTTGTATATGATCCCAAATATATATATATATAGAACCGAACCGGACCTGGGGGTTACTCGGGCCGGTTCCAGGCCTCCCCTACCTTGAACCGAGGCCCGGCCGGTTCAAGGCCCGGACCGGGCCCGAACCGAGTCCACCACTACTTATAGTTAGCCTTTTCTCACAAGTACTAGATGAATAATAGTACTAATTGTCTCAATGACATTTCAAAATTGAAGCTTGTGATTGCAACATGTGCTCCGGGGTCGGTGAAAGAACTTCCTCATCTGTTTGGCATAATTATTATTTTTATATATAAATGTTAATGGATGAATACTTGCAAATTATATATTACGGAGTAGTTCTTAATTGGACATGCAAGCTTCTCCTTTGATTTATGTGGATAAATACTAAATTAAATATTTTCGTTGTTATTAATGTTAGTACTGTTTTATGAATCTTTTGGTACATGTGATCCACATTATGCCTAATGTAATTTGGTAAAGGTGGATGACAATTGTACTTGAAAGGTTTTACAACGGATTTGAACGCTATGAGTCGATTTGTACGTGATACACTAACACGACTTTACCTGGTTAGTTGACTTACTACTATTTTCAAGTATCAAATTTATTACTTGAACAACACGAGTTTGAGGAGTTCAAAATCAAACTCAATTATAATATCATATGGGCTTGACTGGACTCAAATACGCCCTAATGGAATGCAAATATCTTTTTTTAAACTTACTTTTACATTATTTACCGCGTTGGAAAGTCAAAAAAATCATACACAATTACATAATGTAGCCGAGCATATAATCAAATTGAAAAACGAGAAGCATATGATTGATCGTGTACAATCCATGAAATGTCAATCCATTATACTCCCTTCATCCCTGAATAAACTTACAAATTTCCTTTTTGAACGTCCCAAAATAAATTTCTATATTTCTTTGTTAAAGAGTTTGTTCCTCTCACAATAATTCTTACAAATTTACATCTCTTCTGCATAATTTTACACCACATAATATTCACTATGTTAATCTATGTCAATGTACGTTAGAAGTTAATCTAGAGATAGAGAAATACATTTTACCTTTCTCTCCCTTAATAAAACATACTTTAAAGACGATGCCGCCACATCTTTAGGCTATTGTGACTTTTTGCCTTGTTGAATTGGCTCTCTCAATTGAATATATCCCTCATTTTCCTGTGAGTGGACTACTTGCCTGACTTCATAGTCACAAAGAATAATAAACCGCAATAAATACATGTTTGTAATTTTGAAGTTTTCCTTGCTAACCCTTTGAGAAAGATAAAGTGTAATTAGGGGTGGAAACAGGTCAGGTCAGGCTAGGCTTTCGCCTAAACAGGCCGGGCCTGTTTTTGAATATATAGGTCTGAGTCTGGCCTGTTTAAAAGCCTGGTCTGACCTGAAGCCTGTTTACTGGGCCTGTTAAATTAAGAAAAAAATAATAAAATTTCAAAAAAATAAAAAAATAAAAGTGAAAAATCCTTTTAACCCGGTATAAAATTTATTCCCCCAAATATTCACTAAAAAGTCTAATAATACGTTAGTTTTGCTTTGGATGTCTAATAATACGTACATTATTATGTAGTGAAAATAAATTTCTATGTAATTCAAATATTGAAAAACTTGAATTTCAATTATCTTAATAAACTATTAACACACTTTATATATATTTAAAATTGTATTCAATTCTAATTTATAATACACACTCCATAAAAATACTACTATGCCGAATTTGATATAGTTAAGTACGTATACCAATTTAAATATAAATGTAAATAATATAAATAAATATAACTACATATATACACACACATATATACACATATAAATAGGCCGGCCTGTTAAGATAAAAAGATTCAGAGTTGGGCTAGGTCTGACCTATTTAGATAAACAGGCTTTTTGAAAAACTCAAGCCTAGTTTGATTACTAAACATGCCAGATCAGACTTTTAACAGGTCAGGCCACAGGCCCCTCACAGGCCGGCTGGATGGAGTGTTTGGAAGTGTTAGTAATGGAAGTGTTAGTAAGTGTTAATAAGGGCTTGGAAGGGAAGGGAAGTGTAAGTGTTAGACATAATTTTACCTTGTTTGGGAGAGTCAAATGAATGAAGTGTTAATAATGGAAGTGTTAATAATTTTACCTTGAGGCAAAAGAAACGAGTAAAGAGAAGAGATGAAAAAACAAACCATCAGACCCGTGGGAAAGACATTCGAAGTGAAATGTCGAAGCATTTTATGTTTTTCGGGTAAATGAGAAGGGTAATAATTGTCCAACACCTCAAAACACTTCAAATCGGGGTGTTAAAAAAATGGACAATTGAGGTGTTGGGAAGGTTATTATTAACACTTCCTAACCATTACTAACACCTCTGGATTTTTCTACCAAACAAGTGTAGCATCAACACTTACTAATACTTCCATTACTAACACTCCTCAACACTCAATCCAAACAGGCGTAAGTGTAATCATGTTACTCGTATTATTATGTACTCCCTCCGTCCCTTATAACTTTGCCAACTTTCCTTTTTTGGATGTCCCATTAACTTTGCCACTTTCCCATTTAAGTAAAGAATTTGTGGTTCCAGTTAATTCTCTCTCCTCTGCACAAACCTCAACCACACAGTTTTTACTTTATTAATCCTCGTGCCGGTCAAACTTGGCAAAGTTATTAGAGACGGAGGGAGTATATACGTATATATTAGTTCAACGTCAATGCAAATGTTTGAACACAAAACCATCACCCACCATCCGTTTCTTTTCCACGTCTGGTCTAGGTGGAGAAAATACCCACCAAAATTTGGTACGCCATATCCATAAATAATGATTAGGTCAATATTTTAGCATGATATGCTACGGTTTCACAAAAAATACTCCGCAATACGATATCTATTTATAATTTTAAAAAATGTTTCATACGTAGTATACTTGAGAAACATACCAAAATACTGAATACATTATACGGAGTACAAAATATGGAGTATAAGAGGAAGCACTCCAGTTCAGGTTCACCTTGACTCATTCTATGATCGGAGAGATCTCGGGTTCAAAATTTCATGAGTTTTGACTTTGTTTACCCGAGCATGCTCCAACCCTCTTACGTGTTCCTCCGGCAAAATATCAATATTTTGATATATCCAGCGATATGGTAGCTTGTAATTTATTTAGGTTTACAAAAATAAAAGGTTCATTAGGCAATCCAACAAATTTAAGTCACAGTTATGCTCAAATCCCTATTTCTAAAAAAGGAAATTTCTCTAAAAATTAGTAAAGCATAACATAATTTCCTAATTAATAAAAGTGTCATTATTTCCTTTTTGAAATAAGACCCGTTCACTTTGATTTTGTGAAGTTATATGGTTTTATTTATTTTAGTAAAAAGAAAAAATTAGTCTTATTTTGAAAAAAAAAAGCATTTACGTGTTACTTTTAAAACGATTTCTTAAAAAATGCTTTTGGTTATTTGAGAATATCTCCAATGCATTGCCAGATCCTTACCATATGTGATTATAAAATGGAGACTTTTTCAACTTTCATTTTTAGATAATAATAATATGACTCATCACCATCATGGTTCAAATGAGGCAAAATTATGAATTAGAAAACGGTCGTTTGTATATGCCGTATATATATGACTTCACACCAAAAAAGACTAAAATCTTGACAATTTAGTGAGAAAGGCAAAATCTTTTAGTCATGTACTCCCTCCGTCCCGCTAAGATTGTCTCATTTTATCTTTTCGGGAAGTCCTACTAAGATTGTCCTGTACCAAATTTGGTAAAGATTATGTAGCAGTAAACCATTATTACTTTATTCTTACTTTATCAATTTAATATCAACCCACAAACCCACTTTTCTTAATAATCGTGACACTTTCTCTCGTCCCAATCTGAGTGGGATGGAGGTAGTAATACTTAAAATTATTTCTTAAAATTAAAATTTTATTTTGGTATACGGACAACACGGCACAAGGCTAGCAAGACTCTCTGCATTAGTAGATGGAAGGTGGCAAAATAGTGGGGGCATCCCATTAAGGAGAAGTCGGGTGGCAGGTAGCCCTGCCCCTCTCCACCACGCACTTCCATAAATATATAAAACCATTTTCTTCTCTTCTGAAATCTTAATACCCAGACTTGATTATTTATTATCTTGGCAGCCTTTTTTTTTTTTTTTGCTTTTTACGATTAAAGTTTGTAATTAAATCCTTGGCAAGTAAAGAAGCTTCACGCTTTGCTGTTGTTGAATCTCGAAACCGCTTTGTGTGCATCGGTTCAACATCCTTTGGCGTAACCACCCCAACCCACTCTTCCTTACCATAAATCTATCTGCCTTCTTTGAAACCGTCTATCAGTTACTCCTCTGATTTTTGCATATAAGCATTTCTGGATCAATCCCAGATCTCTTCATTTCAAAGGGTATTCCTTTTTTGCTTCTTTTTTATGCTTGTAATGGAGATATAAGATTTACACAGTTTGTAATTTGAAGGGGAAACATTTGCAGGGCAGATAAGGAACCGCTTCCTTGAATTGGGCAGATTTCTCTTTTCGGTAAATTTCTAATTCTGTTGTATATTTTGATTTCTATTACGAATTTAAGATCGATTATTTAGAAGGAATCGCTAGTACTTTAGATTGATGTTTTTCTGTTTCCTCTTGTATGGTAGATATAAATTTTCTGCTACCTAGATAATAAATTTAGTTAGGTGAATTGCATATTTTAATTTTAACTATGATTCTAAACAAAGATTTGAGTGAAAGGTGCATTCTTTTTTCCTTTGGGGTAATTGCTTAACTACTAACCTTTCAATCAAGTGTGTTTTTTCGGACTTTGGCTTCCTTCATGTATGATCTATTGTTGAAACTATGAACAAAAAATACTGCTCCATCTGTCCAAAAATAGAGTTTTGGTTGTAAAAAAAGAAATTGTCAAAAATATCAGATTTCATAAAAGAAGGATAATTTTAATGTAGGTTGTTAAAAAAGCTCCAAACAAGCTGAATGCAATAAAATTACGATGTAATAAAGTAGGAGTCCAGGAATTTTAATACTTGAATTACCAAAATTTATGTGTTGCATCTTCATTTATTTTTTGGGACGGAACAATATTGGTAATCATTTTAACCAATTCTTACCAATATATTCCTAACCCTTCACTGTAGGAGCAGATTGGCACTTACTGGCAAGTGATAATCAAACTCTGGAACAAATATTATCAAAATCACAAAAAATTGTGTAAACATGATAAAAATAGAAGAAATTATTTAGATTTTGAACTAAGCAACACATAAGTATTATAGTTTTTTAATTGCGTCATATTTATTACGGAGTATTTTTTATAAATAAAAGTATTTGTTTCAATGTGAATTCTTACAACCATATATATGCTAATTGGACTGGAGTGCTAGTGCTTCAGTGCATGTGTTTGATATTTGTGCTTTAGAAATGGAAGCGATTTTTAGATTACTTAGTGTATATGCTCTCTCTTCCGCAGTTGAGTTTCTGTCTTGTTGTGTGCTTAAATACTCACTATTTCAACAATGCTGGGAGAAAGCAACAACAACAACAATGTTCTTCCCGTTTTCCTGGACCAGACTGGTTTCAAGTACCCTACTAATGCATCCAATCAGCTCCAGTTGTTTGGTAATTGTACGTGTATGTTGCTTTGATTTCTGTCAGTCTGTTTGATACTTGATTGTATTATCAATATGTTTGCTTCTTGCATTGCTTTTCGGTACTTTTCTACTCCCCTAAATAGTTTTGCTTGTGTTACAGTATGTTTCCCCCAATTCCTTTTAGGGTCCTGTTAGAAATTGGAATATGCCAGGGAAAGAAAATAGAGACTAGAGAGGGAAAAATAAGGGAAGTTTAGAATGAAAGAATATACAAGGAAAATAAAACTTTGCTCAAAACAAAATAAATTTGTTTTCATGTATGTTCAAACTCATTTTAATTATCTATTACTATACTCCATATAAAGACTAATATATCTACTTATGGATATTTTTTATAAGCATTAATTTTATATCATATTCCTTTGAAATTTCTGTTGTAAAACGGTACTAAAACCAATAACAAGAAAATTAACTTTCTTCTTCGTCCCCCTTCCCTTTCATTTTCTTGGATCCAAGTATACCTTTAGGCTATACTGGGCCCCAAAAAATGCCAGGGAAAGAAAAGAAAAGCTAAGATTTTCTGATGTTTGGATTTGCCTCAGAAAATGGAAAAGAAAAAGAAATTTGATTGATTTTTTAAAACTTTTTTTGAACGTATTGATTTTTTAAAACTTTGTTACATATGTTAGATTATTTAGTATTCATGTAGTATTAAGAAATAAATAAAAAAAAATCGAATAAATAATAATGGTTTTATTGAGTTGAAACAATTTATTTTCTTTAATACTTTATGTCCTTCTGAATTTCTCCTATATTTTTCCTTTCCCTAGAATTTCCCACTTTCAAAATGGACCCTTAGTTTATCATGAATGAACAATGAGGTATTAGTTTCTTAATTTTGAAAGCTGTGAACTTTCTAAAGCTATTCTCTGGGTTCTGGCTCCTCTTTCAGTCATAGAAACCCGTTTTCTACTCCAACCTGGTGCTTCCTTGAGCAGGAAAAGTATTTTTAGAAATAAAGAACTTTTTTATTTCCCTGCTTTTGAAGTATCATCTAAAAATATTAATAGTGCAATTTATCTTTGATCCAGATGCAGCACCAGTTGGTTTCAACATCAGCCCCACAAATTTCTTTGGTAGCGAACATAACACCCCTCTGGCCAGGCCAAACAAACGGGGCAGAGATGGGGAGAACATTCCTATGCAGCAGATTCTTCCAATATCCATGAATAATAAGAGTAATAATAATTTTGGTCTTGATGAAGCCGATCAACTGGTGAGGATGTCCACACACAACCAAGTCTCAACAGGTTTAAGGCTATCATATGATGATGATGAACACAACTCTTCTGTCACATCAAATGGAAGTTTGAATGCTCCATCATCAGTTATGTTGGCTTTAACAGAAGGCCTTAAAACGGAACTTGACCACCAAAAGAGAGAGTTTGATCAGTACCTTAAGACTCAGGTAATGTGGGTTCACAATAGATTTACTACTGATGCTTTCTTTCCCTATGATACGTGCTGAAAATGGGGTTTCTGGTAATGTTGTTTCCTAATTGTTTCCTGATGTTTGCTTTAATAAGGGTCCCTTTGCAATCCTGACACTGCTAGTGAAGGGGGAAAGGGAGAAAAATAGAGGGAAACTTTCAAAGTCATTTTGGGAGAAATTCGACATTTGTTCCAATTCGTTTTAGTTATAAGTTTCTATTCTACAGAGTATATACAAGTCCAAGTTATACAAAAGTATAATTTAATCGAAAAGGTCATTTGTTAATCTTTGTCCCTTTCCCTACCACTTTCTCGAGTACAACATGCATCTTAAAACATTTTCAATGTTAGACAGCATGTGATTCCCGTATACAAATATAAATCAGACCTGGTGTGCCCCCCCCCCCCACTCCCAGCTCTGACTGTACAAAAGCGAGTGGACTGGTGGTAGTACTTCCTGTGCAAACTACTACTCCTTCAGGCAAAAAAAAAGAGTTCTATTTGGAAAACTTAACTTTGATCCCAAAAAGAAGAGTATCTATCATTATAAAGAAGCTAACTTTCATTATACTCCGTATTTAATGTATTCTTTGTTTTACAAAAAAAAAGAGTATCTTTAAATGTTAAAAGAAATAATTCTGAAAATGTTCAAAATATGGATAGTGGACAAATTGTGATTTAGTAACTTTTAGTGACTATAAAAGTATGCCCATAGCCACTTTAGTTACATTGTATTATTTTAGTTATATTACACTTTAAAATTAGTGTGTTAAATGTAGTTAAACCTACAAAATTTTACTTCGTAAAATAAAACGTAAGGTTGTACCTAGAACTCAAAAGTTGAATACTACTTAATTACTCCCTTCCTACAATGTTGGTCAGGGTTAGGAAGTAATTATTGTGCGACACATTTGTTGACGTGATAGAGAAATAATATTAACACTAATTTGATACTTTTAGGACAAAAATAAGGAAAATTTCCAAAGTTTAGTAGGACAGAGGGAGTTCTATTCGTTTGTTGGGATGGAGATGGTCGACTTCTATGCTAAGTTCCATTATTGACCATATTGCACCAATTTTTCGAAAGTCGCCTGAGGAGTACATTGGACATATTTCCCTGATCTTGAAGTACACATATATGCTCATATTCTCATTTCCAGAACTTTAATATTCAACTGGTGTGTAACAGGAAGACACTTTGAAGAAAGGGCTTCAAGAGATAAAGCAAAGACACATGGCTTCTTTTCTCGGTGCCATACAGAAAGGCATCAGCACAAAGCTACGAGAGAAGGACCTCGAGCTAGAAAACATCAACAGAAAAAACAAAGAACTCGTCGAAAGGATGAAGCAAGTGGCTTCTGAAGCCCAGAATTGGTGTTACAGGGCCAAGTACAATGAAAGTGTGGTTCATATGCTGAAAACCAACCTTCAACAGGCGTTGCATAATGCAGCCGATCAAGAAGCCAAAGAAGGGTTTGGTGACAGCGAGATGGACGACGTTAACTCCGGGATTTACCCGAATTTTGGCCTTAGCATGGCCGCTGCGGGCCCTCCTGTGGCGAATGGGTTTACTATCGCTTGCAGATTGTGTAAAGCTAAAGAGGTCTCAGTGTTATTGATGCCATGTAGGCATCTGTGTGTGTGTAAAGAATGTGATGGGTCGGTGGGGGAGTGTCCTGTGTGCGCGACGGTTATAACCACTAGTGTCCAGGTGTATCTGTCATGACGATGAAATTCCGACCTACCTACCGTATATGGCACAGTTGAATGAGTATATTATTAATATTATCATCACATAATATTTAACTTAAAACCATCTTAAGTTTTTGTTTTTATCTATTTTTAATATGAAATGTAACTGAAAATCTGAGATGAATACATATATGTAGCCTGTACAATCTTCCCAAGCTGCATTTAAATGCTACAAACCCTAAGAGCCTATTTGGTGATCCTATTATCAGTCTTATCAACAAACTTTTTCATAAAAAATGTTGCGTTTTTGGTTGGATTACTTTAACTATTTATATATATATTTTCTTTTATTTTATTAGTAAAATGCATTTTAGTTTTTTCTTCATAATTAAGCATAATCAGTAAATTCAACCGTTTCAACCAAAACTTCATAAGTTTGAGCAGAATTAGTTAATTCAGCCAATTTCGGTACTACCAAATAGGCTCTAAAAGTTATACTAATAATAATAAAGATTCTAGGCTGAATGATAAAAGAGTTTAGGCTGAATTGCTTGTCTAATTCACTGATTTTAAGCCCTATTTATACAACTAGGAGGAGAGCATATAAGGTATGCTATTTACTAATTACAATCATTAGTAATTAAGATTTTACTCTAAACGCTTCGACTAATTGGTTTGGCGCCTAGGTGAATTAGTTAGCTGCCAATGATGTCTAATGGGTCGTCTAGGGCGTTTAATCGGCCGCCTAGGACGTCAAGATTCACCGAACATTTTTCTCTCTCTCTCTCTTTAAGAAATTTGTATCTTTAACAACATGTATGAAGAAAGCTACTAGTTGTATAGATTAAGATAAAAACTATAGATGTTTGTGTATACTCTTCAATGTTGTTATTGTCGAATAATATTTATTACATAATGAAGTTATGTGAGTGTGTATAATATTATTAATGTGAAAACTCTTTCATTCATGCATATTAATGTGCATGTGCACACACACATACACACACAACATTATTAATCATATTTACGCAAAAACATCGATAAACTATAAGTTTTATGGCTCTGACTAGTCCCCGCCTAGGCGCTAGGCTGGCGCCCGCCTAGCGCCTAGCGCCTTTTAGAACATTAATTACAATTAATATAATCCAACGGTTGTAATTGAAATGTGCATCAATAAGAATAATAACAGATATGGTTGTTTATCTTCCATACCCCTCGCAAGCTAGGTATTCGGGCACCTTTGAGAATCAGGGAGTTTGATTTTGAAAATAACAAAGTGTGGTCGCAGAAGTGGTTTGGTAAGAACATTGCCTCGTTGATTAGGAAGTCAATAGCAACATGTTTCATTCTCGAATGGAAAACAAGATTTGATGAAGACATAGTTGCACTTTTTTTATCACAAAGAAGAGTCAGTAGGGAAATTATCAAATGTCGTAGCTCTGAAAAAGTGATCTGATCCAAATAATTCATCCGACCACTTGACAATAAAGGGTGATGTCACAAGAGCTCAAACTATCAAAGAAGCTGAGGAGGCCAATGCCATGGGTACTAGATCAACATCACTCATTTTCAATTTGTGTAATGAATTTTGTACCACAAACAAGGTTCCTATTTTAAACCATAAATGAATTTTGGCCTTTTTATTCCAATATTACTAAAAATAGGATAAAATACAAAAAAGTGATTTGTTTTTTAAAATTCTAAAAATGTGACCAACATCACAATTAACCCTGCAGTGCAAAGTGACTATGAGCAAAGTGACTCCGATCAAAGTGACCCCATCGACCACAGTGACTGCCCCGACGACCACAGTGACTGCCCCGCCGGTTACAATGACTGCCCTGCCGCCACAGTGACTGCCGCATCGTCACAGTGACTTCCCGAACACCAACCATAGTGACTACCCATCCACCTATAAAAATGACTGCCCGCCCCCAACTCCATCACCACCGTCCATGCCGGAAACCACCACCTCCCACCGTCGCCTGCCGCCAATCCCAGCCCCTCTCCTACACCAACCCCAACCCAGCACCTCTCCTACACCAGCCCCAACCCATCCCCTCCCCTGCGTCATCCAGCCGGCTCGGTTGTGTCAACCGCCTAGCCACCCCCGGTCGCCGCCGACACGGCCAGTGACCAGCACTTCCCCCAACCTGTGATTGCCCAATAAGCCACCACCAACCCTCACCATGACGTTGCCATCCCTACCACGACCCCACCAAGCCTATCACTACTGTAACCTAACCCTAGACGTCGTCGCGGATCTAGATCTGGACAATGGATGGATCTGTACGGTTGAAACTGTTGGCGTAGGTAGAGCCGACGACAATGGAAGAACACGACGATGCAACGATGTGCTCCAGTCACGCGAAGGACTACGGAGAGGCAACAACGTCGAGCGAAGGTTGCCGTTGACGAAGGTCGTTCACAGGGACGCAGTCAGACGGATCTCCCTTCCCAGCGATGCAAATGACTTGCGATGCAGGCGGCCGGATTGTCGCGACGCAGACAGCTAGATTCTCCATTCCAAGTGGCGGCATAGATTTGAAGAGAAGCATAGTCTCAGACGCAGAGAACAAGAAATGGAGGAGGGCTGCGCGTGGAGATGGGAGTTGCGATAAAAGAAGGTTGCGATAGCCGATAGGGAATGTGCTGGTACGGAAGAGTCCAAGTCATATTTTTGGAAAAAGCTAAATAAGTCATATTTTTTGAAATGGAAAGCTAATTAGTAATATTGAGGCAATTATTTCATGAATTTTCGAAGGCGACACACAAATCTAGAACCATCATTCAACATAGGCGGCTTCTTTATCTGCACTTCCTCTTGAAGAGCCCTATGGAAGAACACATTATATTGGCCAACCTTGAGAGAGGACAATAGTCCGAACGACCCTAATAACCTGTGACCCAGACCAAAACCCAGTTCGATTAGCTAAAAACTCGAAGTTGCCAAAACCGGGAAAAACCTGTTTGACATGGGAAAACCCGGTCCAGCCCGAACCCAAAAAACCCAGAAACCCGGGGAATCCCGGTTTTCCAAAATCATTTAACATTTTTTTTAATTCTTAAGAAATTTTCAACCCATAAAATTGAAATTTCAATACCCTAAAAAGAAAAAAATATGTAAATATTTACTTAAGAATGAAAATCATTATAACGTAAAATTCAAATAACAAATATCCTTATATATTTTAATAGGATCAAAGTTATATTTTTGAATATTATGAGTCTTTTAAATGCTTACTGGGAGGTCTCAAGTTCGAATCCATGCTAGAAATCGGACTGAGAAGGGATTCAAGCATTCCAGCCCAGCTGCTTGTGAGGTTACCGTGCCTAGTAGGAGGTCTCGAGTTCGAAACCCACTAGGCACATAAGGGTTCGAAACTTAATGGAGTGAGTTTCAGCCCTGATTACTCCATGCCCCCTCAGCTCTCCTCCCCCAGACCCTCTCTGGAGTAAAAAAAACGATTAATAAGTATTATCATTAGTTGATTATTCTGACTAATAACTACCTTTTATTACTCGGTATAATTTTGTACTCCGTATATAATTATATGTTTATTATTATATAGTTGTGTAATTATTGACTGAGTTTTCTGCATTGACCGGGTTGACCGACCGGGTCCGGGTTGACCCATGACCCGGTCATATGAAAAAATATTTTTGTGCTCCCGTCCCAAAATGATCTTCTCATTTCCCTAAATGGAAAGTTATCCTGCATCAAAACAGTGTCAAACAGTGCAAAACAGTGCCAAACAGTGTACTCTACAGTAAAGTCAAATTTATTTACTAAATATGTGTGTAAGTCAAAGTAGGAAGTTCTTAGCGGGACAGAAGTAGTATAAAATATTTTACTGCTCACCCTCCATGTAAAGTATTTACATGGTATAATGTGAAATACTATGTATATATTGTGTTTTAAAAGTGTCTTACATAATAATACTCCCTCCGTTCTTTTTTATTAGTCCTTCTTTCCTTTTTGGGACGTTTTTTTATCTGTCCTTCTTTCTATTTAAGGAAAGTTTTTATTCTAAATATACCTTTATACCCCAACTTTTATTACCATTACCTCTTTCTCTTTCCTACTTTTTCATTTACCCACTACTCATTACACCTTTTACACTACCTCTACTACTTTCCTCTTAAAATCCGTCCCTAAGCCTAAGAGGACTAATATATGAGAACGGAGGTAGTATATTGTAAGTAATAAGTCAAACTATATAATTTCGTGCATGCAAAGTAATTATTTTACATTTTGAAATGCAAAATAATTATTTTACTCCCTCCGCCTCAAAATGGTTGGTCAAATTTCCTTTTATGACCGTCCCAAAAAGGTTTGTCATTTCCATTTAAAGTAAGGAATATGTGGCTAAAGTTAATTCTCTATCCTCTGCACAAATTTCAACCACACAACTTTTACTTTGTTAATCCACGAAGTCAACATTGGTCATCCATTTTGGGACGGAGGGAGTACAATGGAAAATTCTTGGTGTACACCCTGGGTTACACCTTGGGGTACACCCTAATTATTTGCCACTCACACAGATATAAAACGCACAAATACAGACACTTTTGGTAAAACTGTCGGTGTGAAGAAAATTAGTTTTCAGATTTGTCAGGCTGGTTGCACGGAAACCAATGTCGGTGTACACATACACTTGTTGTCGGTGTATACAGAAATTAGTTGTCGGTGTAGACAAAAAAGTGTCGGTGTGAACAAATTTGGTTTGCAAGTCTGTCAGGGGGTTGGAAAACCAGTGTCGGTGTACACAGACATTAGCTGTCTGTGTAGAAAAAGTGTTTGTACATGTACAATTTTCGTCTGTGTGCACACCAACACATGTGCAAACCAGTGTTGGTGTGCATAAAACGAAAATTGTACATGTACAAACATTTTTTCTACACAGACAACTAATGTCGGTTTACACTAACACCAGTTTTCCAACCCTCTGGCAGACTTGCAAACCCAATTTGTTCACACCGGCACTTTTTTGTCTACACCAACAACTAGTGTCTGTGCACACCAACATTAGTTTCCGTGCAACCAGTCTGACAGATCTGAAAACTAATTTTCTTCACACCGACAGTTTAACGAAAATGTCGATGTTTGTGCGCTTTTTGTCTATGTGAATGACAAATAATTAGGGTGTACCCTGCGTGTAACGCATGCTGTACACCAACAATTATTCGAGTACAATTTATCAAATGCCATGGATTACTGTCCGATCACCTTATCTCTTATCTACTTGTAGCATCCACAGTCTACCTCGCCACAAACGCACCAATCGCGATTCAAAGCCGTCTTGTTTTTCACGATTTATGGAACCTGCAGAGCTAGCTAACTACGCGAAGCAATGGCGGGAGCTTCAGAGCAGGGCCTTATCAACTCCGTCGCACGGAGGATGGCGTCCATTGCAAACCACCTCTCTCCGGCGCAACCAAGTCCGTCCTCTCCTCCTTCAATTCGCTCCTCGAGTTGCAGCTCTTCCATGAACGATAGCTACCACAAAGTTCACGGCGAAGTCCCCAGTCACGGGCCCGTTTGGAGATTGGTTCCTTCGGATGAGTCTGGCAAAGAATTCACTGATATCATCTACGAGAAGGCAGTCGGGGAAGCCATTGCTAAGGTATATTGTGCTCTCTTTTTCAAATGTGCCGTTTTATTCCTTCTCAATTTTCGAATTGCGAAAGCTAAAATGGCAGTCAAGTATTGGGTGTTAAGCCATCAAAATCCACCAAATATCGAAATGCAACTGATGAACTGCACCTACCAAGCACCCATCTATCGTCAGGGTGTTGCATTGTGTCTTACAAATTTTTTAATTTTTTGTTAGGAACCTCACCAGAAAGTTTTTGAGTTTCGTACAAAGAAAGTAGTTAAGTTGTTCATAAGACTATTGGCGCAAATTTAAATGTGGGGTTCCCTTATTTTCTTTTAGACTTGTAATCATATTATTGAAATAATTACATATTTATATATTTATGATTAAAATAAAGATTGATTAATCTTTACACTTAAGTGACCATGACACTATACTATAATAACTATTTATCATATTTTTGAAAAATTTTGTATATTATTTCCGTGGTTGTTTCCTTTCTAGGTTTGCTTTATAATATTGTAATTATATTATAAGAAATAATATTGATATCAGTTTTATTGCTGGTTAGATAGGAAGCGTCAGAGAGAGAGTTATATGTCTTCCGACTTCCGTACTCTTTTAGTTGCAACACTTCCATTTTCACGTTTTTCACAACACAACTTTGATGATGAATATATTTAATTCTCTATCAGTAAAAAAAAATTAAAGATCATATTTTGAAGATTTAACATGAGAAGAATTTAATACTATGTAAATTTTTTCAAAATTAATTTCCAAATGCATTAGTAAAGAAAATGTAGTCAAAGTAGAGCACATGAATATTGTAATATTAAACATGTTGCAATTATTTAAGAATGGAGATGGTATTTGTTATGGTGAACATCGGATTGCTTATAAAGTAATCTGATTGTGTTATGACCTTACAGGGTTTTCCTATGTCCATGATGTTAGTAAAACGAACTAGTGGAAAAAAATAAACCATATGACCACTATTGTACTTTAAACTATACCATTATGGTTACTACTTACTACAGTCGCCACAAAAGTCAGTTTTGTAAATATTTTATGCTCCTTATAGTCATATATTTGTCTTTATATAAATGAGAGTTTTTGTGCAATGGTAAAGGTGCTGTTGTGTGACCGATAGGTCACGAGTTAAAGTCTTTGGAGTGACCTATTGTGGTCGGACCCTTCCCCAAACTCTCACTTTGAGGGGATGTCAGTATGCACCGGGATTCCCTTTATTTGTCATTATTTCTTGTATTATGTACGTGCCTTTTTTTTCCTCCACAGATTACCATTAATAGACCAGAAAGGAGAAATGCTTTCAGGCCTCACACGATCAAGGAACTTATTCGTGCATTTAATGATGCCAGGGATGATGGTTCTGTGGGGGTCGTCATCCTCACAGGGAAGGTAACTCCATAGGTCAACCAAGCATTGATATCTCATAGGTCTTTGATCGATGATTCGCCGGTTAAATATTTCATGAGTCCTCCAGTTTGTTACTTTTAAAAGCTGTGTATAAGTGTATCACTAATGAACTTGTCATTTATTGTTATATTTTCCTTTACGCAGGGGACTAAAGCCTTCTGCAGTGGCGGTGATCAGGCATTAAGAAATAAGGATGGCTATGCTGATTATGAAAATTTTGGCCGTCTCAATGTTTTGGATTTACAGGTGAAACTTCAGGGCTTTATATTGATTGCTGGAGTAGTATTGAAACTGTGTCCTCAGTCCTTACTGCATGGTGCTTACTGTTTGCACAAATCACAATGCACTGCTTTGTTACCCTTGGCTACATCTATACTAGAATATTGTAGAATTGCCCATTTATTTCCTGAAATCAACACTCTTTAATTGTTAAAACTAAAGTTTAGCACAAGCAAACAGAGGCAATATTTTAAACCATGAATTTTGATTTATACAATCTCTCTGCCTCCTTTTTAAAAAGATTTCTGTAATGCTAATTGACAAGTAGTTTTAGTCAATTACTCCAACAATCTTGGAAATATGTTTTAAGAATATTAACTCAAATAATACTCTTTTTCGATCGAATTGAGGACATAAGAAACTATTTACTAGTAATATTGACCGATCATTCATAACTTGTCAAAGCTTGTAATTTGATTGAGTTGAGTAAAATACAAAGTTGTACCGTACTCATACAAGGCCCTTTTTAGATGGAGGGAGCCATTAGTAACCCATATTCCAATACAGTACTGATATTTTGTGGTTGTGCCTAGCATGAGATGTTTTCTGATTGTGTTCACAACGTTGTTGTTTGGCTATTTGAACCTAGAAGAGTAAAATTTGGTCTAAAAGCTTTGCATTGTAGCTGGTTTCATGTTTTCAGCACCTGATTCATGACTTCATTTTGACATAGGATTTTTGGATCTTATTTACCCTTGTTTACATCAAATTGCAGGTTCAGATTCGTCGACTACCAAAACCAGTAATTGCGATGGTAATATGTTTACTTGTATATTAGTTGAGAAGATTCTAAGCCTTATTTTAGGCTACTATTTGTGAGATTATGAGATTAACCATGGTAACACACTCTTTGTCTTCTCCAAAAAAGGTTGCAGGTTATGCTGTTGGGGGAGGAAACGTGTTGCACATGGTTTGTGATCTCACAATTGCAGCCGATAATGCTATATTTGGTCAGACCGGACCAAAGGTCTGCTCACACGTTCCACCGTATTGTACATGTTATGTTACTTCCACCATTGAAGTCTCATCATTGCCCAAGTCCCATCTTATGCCTTATGTTGGGGTCCTTGACATGAAATTTAGTGTCAAATGCTAATCAGTTCACTTAAAACTCATTTTTAAAAGCATGGCGACAAAATTTATATCGGATGTTTTCACGGCCTTCTCACATGGGAATAATCAGATGAAATGTTCAAAAAGTTTGTAAACACTGTTCTTTTTTTATGCATTGCAGGTAGGGAGCTTTGATGCTGGCTATGGGAGTTCCATTATGTCCCGTTTGGTGAGATTTGAATAGAATATGCTAGGTTTTCACTGTTTCTTTTCATTAAGGCTATGTTTGGAACTCGAGAAATGGTTGGTAAAGGAAACAAATACAAAGTAAAATGATTTTCTTAATGTTTAGTTTTTGCCTCTAAGATAAATTAAGGAAAATCCGTTTTAATTAAAATTAGTTTACATGTGCATAGCTTTCGCTGTATTTTCTTTCTGTCCGAACTTACCATCTATTTCCCTTCATATTTTTTGGGCCGTATCATTTTCCGAGTTCAAAACAGGCCTAAAAACGACTGTGAACATTAAATTAAGTCTCCTGCTCTTTTAAGTCGAAGATGGCAACTGCTTTTGAAGCTGTCATATTTACTCAGTTGGTTGGACAGGTTGGCCCAAAGAAGGCTCGTGAGATGTGGTTTTTGACAAGGTTTTATACGTCTACTGAAGCGGAGAAAATGGGACTTGTAAACACTGTTGTGCCGGTAAGTTGATCCATATTTAAAACAGAAACATGCCATTATAGCAACCTTAGAATGTGGTCAAAGATATCAGGAACACAATTTTTGCAGCAACACTTCCAGTAGAAGAAGCAGAGCGTTTGGACTTTGCACTCAAGTTGCTTTGTTCAATAAACTCATGCATTATGTGGTTGTCTTTCATCAGTTAGATAAGCTGGAACAAGAAACTATAAAATGGTGTCGTGAGATGCTAAGAAATAGTCCTACTGCTATTCGGGTCCTTAAATCAGCTCTCAACGCTGTCGATGATGGACATGCTGGACTTCAGGTATCCCTTCTATTTGGAGAAAGTCTTCATTAGACGGTCAGACCTGGTCCATATGGATCACAAGCTTCACCTTTTTAGAGGATATAACATGCAATAGATGAGGTATAAAGGCTCGATACTTGTGGTCCACATGAATTAGGTTCATGTGAGATTTGTCCTATTTAAACCCTGCCACTAGTTTAAAATATTATCGTTTTTACGCGGTCCATTTTCCCTGTCAGAACAATAGTTATTACTCCGTATATGTATTAGTTTAAATAATGTTTGACCCATAAAAACTGAAAAACAAAACTGATCAGTGTATAAAAAGTCATTAGCCAAAGGAATGCATGGAATCTTAGGAAAATGTTCTGTTTTTGCAAGTCTCACACCAAACATTGGAAAAAGCAGAAATCCTAACCGTCAATCTAGCGAAGCTTTAGTATATCACTGGATGCATGTGAAATGGGAATGGGTCAATGTAGTTAACTCTTTATGGATCTCATTCAGGGGCTGGGAGGAGATGCAACACTACTATTTTATGGAACTGATGAAGGCAACGAGGGAAAAAATGCCTATGTGCAACGCAGAAGACCCGATTTCTCTAAATTTCCAAGATTACCTTAGCATTGTATATTACAGAGTATCTACATTCTCAGTAGTTCCGGGTTTAATTCATCATTTGTTGAAAAGAAATGTTGGTTACTGATTATTATTACCACTGAAATAAAGGTTATTTACAAAAAATGTAACATAAGTTTATTGACTATAGTATTAACTTTCAAATAAGCCGTTGTACTTTATCAAAAACAGAAAAATCCTTGTACTTTCAAAAACCCCAATCACCCCCCAAAAGTTGTAAAAAAAACACCCAATTCCTCTAGTTTAAAGGTTACTCTCCGGTTTCTCAGGTCATTTAGGATGACATGAATATATTTGTCCATTCACCTGCATTGTTGTTGCTGACCAGATATTCACTAATTTTTTATTTTCTTTTCCTCGACATATTTTGCTTCTTCAGAGTTTTAGGCATCCACTTTCTCTCCTTTCAGTCCCATGTTTCAATTATAAAAGTATAAAAGACAAGAAAGATAAATTGATTAATACTGAGGTCATTGATGGGGATGGTGGCTGTTAGCTCCTTCACTCCTTGCCCTCCTAGCTTTCTCTTCCCAATGAACATCGTTAAAGTAGAAGAAATTGTGCTGCCAGATGCCACTAATCCAATCCATAGTTCCTGAAAATCAAAACTGGCGGAGAAACCGAGCATAGTGCCAACTGCCAACTGCCACAGCAATACAGCATTCCTATGAGGTGAAAACAACTCGAGCTTATATTTTCCGGGAGATTTGACCTCTACGTCCTTCTCAATGTGCCACACCAAGTGGTTGGCGTCCGAGCTCGGACAGCCTGAAGCGACAATCTGGAAAGAAACCAGTGAGGCAGAAGATGCAGGTTGAAGCAGAGGAAAAGAAGAGAGAATTGGGAATTTATTTATCGTCATGATCATAATAATCATTACGTCAGTGCCGCAAAAGTTCTCACTTTCCAGTGGGTAAGAGGGTCGGATGTAAGCAGTCTTGTATTAAACCTTGTACTAAAGAACAAGAGATTGTGTTTTATTAAAATGTTAAAATTAAAGTATAAATAAAAACAAAAAAACAAGGCCACTGAGGCACTGACATTACAATTCCATTAGACATTGGCAAATTGGCTAATGGATTTGTGACCAGTCACTGGCGCCTGTTTGGGTGGAGTCTATCGGATTTGCCATGACTTAGGTATAGTGACTAATGAATTTGCCAACTTAATGTGTTTGGTCATGTGAAGTGTTCTGCGGAGCTGTGTGTGGATTTATAGTTCTCCTTGTATTGAAACTTGTTTGGACTCCGATTTTAATAATAATAGTTAATCAGTTTCCCTTTAAAAAAACTTCTGTTTTGACAATCTAACGTTTATTTACTCCTATTAAGAGAATTAACGCTAATAAAATCTCAATTGATACGTAATTAAAAGATGGTATGTAAAGTTGGCAATGAAGCGGATCGGGGACGGTTATGCCCGTCCTGTTGGGTAACTTCCTCGCCCCATAATCTCCCATTACTCAAGGGGTAATTTTATCCGAACCATAAGCATCCAACGGATAACGATTATAACCATGGGCAACTGTTTTATTTAATGAGTCATTGATATTTTAACATAAAAAACTTTAGTTTAAAAGGAAAATAAATGACATCGCTTCGATCATAAATTACATTGTACAGCCGGCTGTACGGTGCTCACTGTACAGCCGGGTTTTTTTTTGTAATTAAACCTGCAATTCATCCCTGCAACTCACCGACGAAGACGACGAGGGACGGCAGATTGAAAGTCTGGTGCAACTCACAAACGCAGATCGCAGGTCGCCGATAGCCAAGCTTCCAAGTGCAACTCAGGGCTGAGATGCTTGGTCGTCGCAGAGAGAGGCGGCTCTTCCTGTGCAAGCGATTCCTATTCCTCACCGATTAGCCTATTTCCCCTCTGCTAATTTCTTACTTGCCTTCATTTCTTTTTATAAATTTCTCAATCGCACTAACCATCCTGACATCCTTTTCCTTTTTGCAATTATAAACTCCAACTACAACCACCTGACATCCACAAACCCCTTATGACAATATTTTATTAATATTAAATCTGTTATATAGGATATCATAAAAATGAGTCTTCACAAATGAAATTATGCCACCGGCTGTACGGTGATCACCGTACAGCCGGCTGTACTGTATACGCTTCCTTGCTTCGATGACTCTAGATGTGAGATGCCACTTAAAGATTTTGTGCATCTACAAGACAAAAAATAAGACAACCTAAACTATTTTGAACCTAAAAATACTTAAATTTTAATATAATTAATCAAGAAAAGATATTATAATAACCAAACGGGACTATTAAAACATATTATGAATTCTATTCATACATGATTGTTACATCCATATATACACAATGAAAAGAAAAAATCTAATCTTTTATTAGTTTTGGAACAAATAATAGAAAGAATGTAATAAAAAATATAATTAAAATTAAATGGGGCAGGTAATAGGGCGGCATGTATAAAATCGTAACCGCCCCGTTACCCATAAAAATAAAATGGGTATTCCTCGCTCCGTGCTCATTACCCGATCAATACGATCTTCCCATTTTGAATAGAATGGTTCGGTGCGAGTTTCTATTGGATGCGTCAGCGTCACAATTGACATCCTAATGATATGGTATGCATACAAATAACTAAACTCTTATGGTCCATTTGTTGGGGGTTAACCTAATTTATTGTTGGTTCAATATTTAGTTGACCCTGTTTGTTTGTATTTTTACAACAATAACCTAGGTTATTAATAAATTTGGGTTAGCTAACCTGAAAACCTAGGTTAAAACAATAACTCTCGAGAACCTGAAGAAACCTAAAATTGAAAAATCAACGAATTGAGAGTTTTCAGAAATTAATTTCTCGTATAACATGAAATGAGCTAGATTACCGTCATCTAAACAACTTTTATTACATGAACCTAAATTCACTATATTTTACGCATAAACAGAGCATTAAACATGTTTTTAGTATTTTACTCATAAACAGAGCATAAACAAGATTAGATAGACCAACTTCTGGTTGAGTAAAAACATCCTAAATCCTAGCTTCTCAGCCGTTAAGCCGTAATCCCTGGGTACTGGAGTCCTGCTCCCATGAAGCCGTTAACGGCAAGTTTTATCAGTTCTCCCCGATCCGACGTATAAGTGAGGTTCCGACGCCGGTGCTCTACCTGGAACCCAAGTTAGGCATGCAAGCCTGTGAAAACTACGTCTTCTGAACCCTTATCAAGCTGTAAGGAAAACAATGAGTGGAAACGAGTTCAGGTTTTTCTTATCATGCGACATCAATCTTCCAGTCACGTTCCGAATTGAACGGATCGAAGGAAAGGTTCCTCCATCTAAGCCCCATGGTTCAGGTTTGATTGGTCAACTGATTTTCGTTACCGTTAATTTTAGTACAAAGAAATACGTTGTATTGTATAAGGGCCAAAAGCTTGAAAATTTTATACTCGGACGTCTGCTTAATATTTGAACATGTACTTTTATAGCATATAAATATATTTTTTGGGAGCCGAGGTCTTCCCCTCCTCCTCCCTGCCTCCTCCAATTGGTCTACAACATTGAATTGCCTGAAAGGTTCGATTTTGGCATGTCCTGGTCTAATCGTTTATCATCTTTTCTGATTTTTCAGGTGATGTGGATATTATCAATACAATTGACGAAATGGAGCATGAGTTATATGTAGAGAGCACATTGTACATTGATGGTGCTCCCTTTGGACTTCCCATGAGAACTAGGTTTCTTTTAAATGACCGGCTCTAGAGTTTCTGTCACTTGTCTTTGATCAGATAATTGATATTATTTGGTTGCAGACTGGAATCGAGAGGCCCATCTTACTGCTGGAATGAGCTTATCACATTGAGCACGAAGTATAGAGACTTAACTGCAAATTCACAGCTTGCGCTTACAGTGAGTAAATTGGTTTTGGCTATACAATTGTTCTTTTGCAGATAAATCCAACCTATAGCAGTTTGAAGTGACTTTTTCATAAAAATAGCTTGATTTGGTTGGTCCTTCACTCTTTCAGACTCAGTTTTTAATCTGCAATCGAGGCACTCAAATTTGATATAATCATTTTTGGTTGTCCAAGCTAGCTTTGCTCTATATTCTGCAACAATTTGGTCTTTCAAATTTGTTTTAGTGCAAGGATAAGACAAATTTAGCAAAGAAACATAATACTCCGTACTTTGTATAGCCTACAATCCTACATAAATATTGATAGATACTTCTTTATTAGAAAGCGGGTGTTCTAAAACAGTGTGCAGATTCTGGATCAGGTTACATGCCAAAGAACCCATAGTACCTACAATAAGATGGTAGTTGTAGCAAGCTTTTGTTTAGTCGTTTTTGATAACTCATATTGTGATAATGCAGGTTTGGGATGTTTCACGTGGAAAGAGTGAAGGAGTTATTGGTGGGGCTACTATGCATCTTTTTAACATGAAAAAACAACTGAAAACAGGGAAACATAAACTTAGGCTTTGGTCTGGTATTGAGGCAGATGGGTCTATCCATACAACGACTCCAGGGAAGGTATCTACTAATCTTATTTTTCTAGACTGCAGTGTTTTTTTACTTAATTCTGTTAATTGATAAGCTTTTTTCAGTGTTACATTGGCTTATGTTCTGACCATGACTTGAATCCATTAGGTTCCAAAGAAGGAACGCGGGGAATTGGAGCGCTTGGAAAAGCTTGTGAATAAGTATGAGCGTGGGCAGATTCAACGAGTTGATTGGCTGGATCGCCTTGCCTTCAAAGCTATGGAGAAAATCAAGGAACGAGAAAACAATAACAATGGAAGTTCTCACATATACCTGGTTGTTGATTTTAGCAGTTTTGAACACAGAGTTGTATTTCAGGTAGCTCATTATATAAACAGTTTATATACTCTGGTGTCCATTCCCACTGCAATCAGATTCTTATTACGGAGTATAAGTCAAATAATTATTGATACCACTAGCTTATATGGTTATATTTCCTGCTCTCCCAGCATATCTTTGACTTATTATGTAACATCAATACGATAGTGGATGTTGATGTGGAATTTTTGCTAGCTGGTTTACTTGGTTGCATTTGATTTCATATTTCCCCTTCAGTTGTTGCTTGTTAGTGCTCACCAAATCACCAGCCTGATATAGTATTATTTGTCTGATCATTGAGCTATTACTGCATATTACAATTTTTTGTTATTTTCAAGAACCAAATGTTCCTCACTAACAGCTTTTAATGATACTCTTCCATGCCAACATGCAATATCACTTGGGTTTGACATGCTTTTAAAGA